CTCCGACTTCAAGATTGTTTTGTTATATTCTATATGCTCCTCAAAATCCTAATTTTCTTTTAATCCATCATAACATCAGCCCTCCATTTAGAAGTGCTCTCTTCATAAACACACAGCATGCAGATTTGGACTTCCAAACATATTTCAGGTTTTGACATCTCAATGTGAAAAACGTTTACCCTTGTCAAAGGATATCCTCTTATTATCAGAAATAAAATGCAAGCCTCAGAAAAATCATGACTTGGTACAATAGCACAATGCTACTTAAACCCTCGAAATCTAAATCATTCTTTTTTGATTTGTGCTATGTTTATTTCACTACACTGAACAAAACATTAACTCCATGGTAACCAGAGAGTGGCAAAATACACCACTTTCTTTCATGCAGTTTATATGACTATGCCTACTTTTTACAGTCTTTGAAAATCTTGCCATAATTCAGGTCCATTTTAATTACCAGAAATGTGTAAGCAGCGTACTGGGAGTATGAGCCACAGTTCAACATGTACCTGGCACTTTTATACCTACCTGATTCCTGGCAAACTGAAAGAGAGAGGCAAGAAACCTGTAGTCCAAAGCTAGTCTGTAGGCATGGCAGAACCTGACATGCCTCAAAGGGCCAAACTAGGGCCTGGGTATTGCACTGGGATATCAGCCTGCTGTTTTCTCAGAGTAGCTATCAGGAACAGAAACAGGAAAGACAAAAAGCACATTTAATTGTTTTTCATAAGCGTTCCCCCACATCAGTATTTGGAGAGGAGTGATCCCTGTAACCTTTGTTTGTTTCCCAGAAAACACAGAAAAACGCACCAGAGTGTTTTTCAGAAAGGTACGGTTTGGCATGGGGAACACTGTGGTGAGACAAGAGGGGCCTTCCATGCATCACAAGGCATCATGTATCACCTCAGCTAAGCTTTCACTGTAGTATTATTGCTGTTTTCACCTTTTTGAGCAGAGTATAAAAAGCAGGGGTTTGGATGTATAGGATGAGAATCTACAGTGTGTAATGCCCTATGGCACACTCCAGAGCTGAGCTGCCAAGCAGCTGAGTTGAATACACAATATAACCGGACAACCCACCACTTCGTAGAACCTCTTGACCAGTGCAGTAGCTAGCTTTTAAGGTTAAGCAAACTGCCCTATATTCAAAGAAAAACAAATAAAAAACACACCACACATACAAACCAGGGTATATGCACAAAGTAGGAAAGCGAAGAGAAAATCCCAGAGAGATTCTGAAAAAACAATTCTGTGCAGACTCTAGTAATTCTGTTCCTGTTCCACAGGAGCTGAATTTAAGAGTAAACCACAGGGAGCTATTAAGCATGTGGTTTTTTTTAAAAGAAGGTCCAAATATCTGTGATGCATACCGACTGGTCTGTACAACTGAGAGATTCCGTGTTTGATTCAAGAAGTCTATGGAAATAATTCATTTGGAGAGAGTGAATGCATGAAAAGAAGGAATAAACAACTCTGCCTTGAGCCAGACATAATGCAAACAAATGCACACTTTCCAACAAAATCTGCCAACTTGGTTCATGAACGCAGATTCAGATCATTAGTAACTGCCACAGGCTAATATCCTTTAGCAAACTTTCTTACAGTCTCTTAGACGCACTTTCATCCAGACTTTAAGTTGTTACACACAAGCCTGCAGACAGAAGAAGGTAAAGAATAAAAGTTTAACTTTGATGTCAAAGGCCATGGGGAGAATCATTCATAACGTCATTCACGCACCAAATTGGCAGCGAAATAGAGATTTAATGATACCTTGGATAAGCTAATACAAGCCATTTCTACCTCCCAAGAACTTACTCTGTAAGATTAAAATTCCAAATTTTCTAAGGTCCTTAATGCCAAAAGGTTAATTTGCAATCAAAAAAAATTGGGAAAATAGGGAAGAACAGAAACACCTCATTTAAATTCTGGATGAAGAGTCAAGCTGAAGGCATTTATTTTGTGGAACTAAAATAACAGTCAGAGCTCTAGGGCAACCGCAACAGCGGGCACAGTGAGGATGAAGCAGCTCCGTCTATCACCTGTGCACCCGTCAAACGTGGTATCACGTACAGATCTGCAAGAGTTGGCCTTGCATTAGCCCCGGGGGAGAGCTTCTGTCTGGGTTCCTGCCTGCCACTGTCACACAAACCAAACGTCAGGTTCCTGCTGCCACACGCTTCCCCAGAACTGCCTGTCAGCAGCAGAGCAGCCATGGCCCAAGCCACAAACTGGAAAGCTGAGGCTTCAGGCACATAAAACCAGTCTCTCGAACAAAGCCACAGGGCCAGTTTCTTCCTTTCTAAGTGAGCACTGAAGAGTTGTTTTCCCTCGCCCATTTCATCTTTCAGTACAGATCCCGAGTGGAGCAGCTTCAAGAAGAGATTGTCACAACCCAGAACAGTGCAAGCCTGCAAGGGCCTTTTAGGGGGTACATCTCCCCCTCCAGTTTAGGGTTTAGTTCTTGGTCCATTTCTAAAAGGGCTTCCGTGCTTAAAATCAGGAGGGCTCTAGCTGTGAATCACAAGGCAACACTGCTAAGCCAGGCACCTGCACACTGCCAAGGGCAGACTTCAAAAGACACTCTGACCTGTGGTGTCCACTGCTAAGTCCTTACGACTCACCGCTCAGCATGCTGCTTCACACAAAGCTAATTCTGAAGCCCTTAATTCTTCTTAACTCTTAATTCTTCTAAGATTTAAGACGAAAGGCTGACAGAGCTGAGACTGTTTAGCCTTCAGAAGAGAAGGCTCAAGGGGATCTTACCAATATTTAGCAACACCTGATGGGAGGGAGCGAAGACAACAGTCTATTCGCAATGGTATCCAGTGACAGAACAAGAGACAACGGGCACAAACTGAAACACAGGAAAATTCCCTCAAAACATAAGAAGCAGCCTTTGTACTGTGGGGGTGGTCAAACACTGCAGCAGGTTGCCCAGAGAGGGTATGGAGTCTCCATCCCTGGAGATATTAAAACCCAACTGCACAAGGTCCTGGGCAGCCCGCTCCAGCTGACCCTGCTCTGTGCACGGTTGGACTAGACGATCCCCAGAGGGTCACCCGCCTCTGTGATTAAGTGTGTCCTACTGAGATCGGTGGATTCTGCTCGCAAGACCACAGACCTGAAAATAAGATACTCAAATATCGGGTATTACAACGTGCAAATCTCTTCATGAGTCCAGGGCACTGGACCCTATTTTAAAAGTGAAGAAATTACAGAGGTAACAGTTACCTGCATCACAGGGAAGGAAAAAAATATTATCATTTGCACGACATCCTGAGAAACTTAGATAAAGCTAGTACATCAGTAATCTTAATAGGTTTGTTACACGTTAAACAGCAAATACAATGATATGCCACGTTTATCAATTTTACAGTAACAATTCAGACAGAAAGACACATTACACCAAAGAGGGGAAAGGCCACCGGGAGGGGAACATCTTTATTGGTATATAACACATGTTTGAAGCCAAACAAAAATGTAATGATGTTTTGAAACAGCAACAAAGACCCTTTCTGCCTCCATGTAAGTGATCTGCCCAGCCAGCATATTGCTGTTTACAGACAAGTATTTACTGTATGCTCCCATTTAGTTCAAGTAAATGGAAACAGGCAGCAAAACCTGATCATATAAAACAAAGACATTTAACATTTGATGCTCTCTAATCCCCCAAGTTGATCTCCTCTTTCCTATGTCTTCCTAGGCTTTCATTCACCGTTTAATATTTACCTCTGTGAAAGGCAACATCTTTAATGCCCATGCTGCCTTTTAAAAACTCTTTGTGAACCAAAAATTAATTTAGAAAAATTTGTTTCTGTTACACTTTTCAACAACTAAATTGTTCTTTTAATAAACGATGATGAAGCCAAGCACTATATTATTCTTCATATTTGCAGACGGAGGAAGGGGAACATAATATGGGTGTAATGGGTGGGAAATTAAGAAATGTTACTCCTAGCTCAGCTGTTGACCTTCAGCAACTTCCTCTGATTATCTCCCACTTCTAAACATAGGAAACCTTTTTCTTCCTGGTGATGCAGACCTGCAAAAGGTGCCTTCTCCTCTCATTTCTGTTATCAACAAGATAGCGAGATTATTATCAAAACTAGCTTTCTTACTTTTAGACACATATCAAAAAACGGTTATTTGGTATTTGTTTTCAATGACTTTTTTCCCTTTCTTCCAGAAACTGGGGCCACAGCAACCAGTATTGCAAAAGGATGTTTATCTAAGTATTCATTGTCATCATCTTTGACAATTGATGCAGTAGTAGACAGCAAATTATGATCTATGAAGTAAATATCTTAAACAGAGATAAACACTACCTTCAAAAACTAGATTGATCTTATCAGCAGTAACAGCTGAGTCTCCAATAAAATTACCACTGAACTATCAAAAGCACAAAATCTTACATTATTTATAAAGCCTTCCTTGATCCTTCATTTTCTGAAACCAAATAAGGCAATTTCAGGAAGCAAAACTAAATGCATGAAGAAAGAAAAGTGAATGGCTGTCAGGACTTCAAGGTTCAGTGGCATTCTACCACTGACTGCAAATAATGGGTCAATTTAAACCCTATTTCTTACAGCAATACTCAACTTAAAGAACTATTAAAAGACTTCGGTTATATCAATTTTTGGACCTCTCTAAATAAAAGCTCAAACAGAAGGGAAGATGATGCAGTGAAACAGAAACACCAAACCTCCTCCTGGTTCCACAGACATTCCACTCACTATTTCTGTATCAAAAGGAACATTTACACTATCATCCCTCTATAAAGTCATTACAAAACTATTAAGTGAATTCTGAATGTATTTCAGCTCCATCCCTCAAGCAGCTGAACAGTCAGAAACATGGAGGAAAGTGAATCAGTAACCACAGCTTAGGAACCCCTCTCCTATGAAGTAGGATACATATATTGCTCGAGGTTACTGGCAAAGTTTTTCCATGTTTGGTCTAATCTAGTACAAACCAGGGAGAAGAGACTCTTCTTCACTGACCTGCTTGTTGATCCAGATGACAGTGAAAATGCAGGAGAGATGGATCTCTGGCCTTCCTCCAAGGAGTGAGATTCACTTCTTCTGCCATCAGGAGTTTCTGTTTTGATTATCTGGGCTTTTCCAAGGACGATAGCTGTGTGATGCTCTTCCCTATGTTCTACCAAGAAGAAAGGCAGAGATTAGCAAGAATGACAAAGCAAAATGATACTGTTTAAATTTTTGCAGCCTGGAGATAGATTTTAAGAAAAAACAAAGTTATAAATATTTAAATACCAACGCCTCATTCCCACTTACTTGCTTCCCAAAACTCTCACAGTTTCAAAGTTTAATTTCTTTTCCTGCATAGTAAAAAAAACCCCACACCCTCCAAGAACCAGAGACTGAAACAGAAACGTTTCATTGGTGTGAGTTTCAAACACAACAAGGAGAGAAATAAAGGGTAAGGGTATTTGTCACATTTCATAAGATGAAACTTCATTTCTAGACATTAGCAAACACCTAATGGGACAGCACTGTTCTCTGCTTCTTGCTACCAGTTCACTTCATCCCCTGCATGACACCGCTTGACAGCTAAAAAGTTTTACAGATCAAGTTAATGGCTTGTTTTCAATAAGAGAAGCATTACAATTTATTTCCTTATGCATCTAAGAAAGACAATGTCAATCTAGATAATTGACATTTCCATTTTTTAATAGGAAAAACTAGACAACACATACCAGACAAATTGTAAAACCAGTCCATTATTTTTGTGTCAAGTGTTTTTATCTATAAAAAGATGAACAGTTCTCTGAAAAGATACCTTCTACCGCTCAAAGAGAAAGCAAATACGGACTAGAAAGTATGGTATGTAGAGATAAACTACTCTTATACCATACCCACAAATATTTTCGAATGAGTTATTTAACTAGAAAGTTGCATGGGACATTAAAACCATACTGAGACTCATCTCATTAATAATCCTTATCGTGGCCATTCACAGAAGTGTTCTGTCCACCCTCATGAACCAAGTTATATTCCTGCTCAAACCACTTTGACTTTTCTATCCCCTCCAGAAATGATTTTGACAGAAATGGCCAAACAGAACTGTAATTAGAGTGTGGAAGAGCTATACAATCTTTGAATTCAGCTACAGTTTGCCCTTTCCCTTCCGCTAAAATGTATAATTAAATATCAGGAGCATACTTTTCTCTGTTGAAAACAACCGGCAGATTACAGTGAGTCAGTTGTCCAACTAATGAAACATAACTCTGAAATTAACAGGTTAAAAATAGCAAAGGCCCTGTGCAGTAAGGCAACCCAGAAGAGGTGTATCACAAATATTTGTCAAATTCTTATAGTGCTTCCCCTTAGGCAAAGCAAAAACCTATGTCTAAAAGTTATAAAATATAAAGACTGGAAATCGAACATTTTCAGTTTAAAGATGCAAAACAAGATGATGTAAATCAGAAAGGGATGATTAAAACATCACCAAAACCAGAGCGAGATTTTCAGAGAGGTTTAAGTTACATCAATCAATACTACAGTAGAGAGCAATGGGAGATATGAAGGGTTTAAAAAGAAAAAAAAATAAATACGAGAAGTATGTTTTAATTCTGTACAATTCTACTACTTCCATGAGAATCCAAATAAAGCGGGTAAGAAATGCACACAAAGCCTTTGCTCTTCTCAGCAGTTAAGCTTTCAAATGGCAAGTCATCAGACCACTGCTGGTTTTCTTCCTTTCAAGTATTATAATTTCCAGTTTAATAAAAAGGTAATTGCTGTTGATAAGGAACACTGAGGAAACAAGCTTTAGGCATTTGTTCCTTCACCCATAAATATTTCTGTTTTGTTTTTTAAATGGTTTACAAACAGTCAGCCGGGTGCAGCTGTTTGGCATAAAACTAGAAACTGAATTTTCAGAGATTATTGAACGCTCAGTGCGCGAAAAGCGTAATGAATATTTTGCAGGTTTGTCAGAACCAGACGAGGTGGTATCATGTACTTAAGTCAACACAATAGAGGTTGATAGACCTGATGTAAGTTATTTCCTACCTGAGCACTCTTTTGAAAAAACTATATGGCTTTACTTCAGCTTCTCAAAGTCTGCGGTTCAGTGCACAAAGAAGCAGCTTACACAGAAGATAGAAACCCAGTAATTCACAGTAGCCGATCTCTCCACAGAGCATAGCTAGAAATTAATATTTCAAAGTCTGTGATCCCATTACCTAAGAACACATTGCTTCTGTCTCTGCTATAGAAAAGGAACATCACTGTAAATTATGTCAAACAAGATAAACTTTATCCTTGAGATTCCTTAATTTTTACCCTTCACGTGGAAAGGATCATGCATTGCACCAAGGTCTGCATGAAGGGTAAGGATAAAATTCATACTATTACATAGTATTTTCATTTATTTTTATTCTTGAGAGCTCTGCTAGAGGAGACAGCCGAAGATTAGTTCAGCTCAACTCAAGAGAGCAGGGATTTGTGAGAGCTGGTGCGAACTAAACTGCCATATTTTCCCAAGGATACAGACAACAGCGCATCCAATTGTGGTCAGTGGAATTCTCTCCAAAATTCAGTATCTTGAATAGATTATAACTCCAGAAGTTATATTAGGTTGAGGAATGCTCTTCTAAATCACACATTCAGAAAGATATATGTACGCTGCCAAAGCAACCAGTAACACAAATGAGACTGAACAAGCCTATAGGGAACAAGTTAAAAGCACACATGGGTATTTCTTTGATGTTGTGGGTAGTGAGGATAACAAACATATGCTGGATGTTGTTCCTAACTCAAAGAACTGAGTAACTGCAGTTGTGCATTCCCACTTCTCACTATGTTGAAGTATATAAACACAAAATGAAGCGAATTAAAAAGAGAGAGGCAACATACTGAATAAACAGTCTAAAAGAAGCCAAAAGTATTTTATTGCTTCAACCTTATTGTTGAATAACCTTTGTTATTCAACAACAAATAAGTACTTGTTCCAATCCACACAAACGTCTTTGCAGTTCCCAATTACTGATTCCCCATCATATTAATGATACAGAAAAGCTGAAACCCAGCAAGCAATACCCATGATCACCTTCATTTCAAAGATGCAGATTGTCACATGCCCACTCTCAGCAACTTCAGTAGATTTGGATTGGAACCTAAGAACCCATTTCAACCAGCTAATTAAAATATGCACCTAAATAAAGCATATCTATACACAACCCCACTAAAATCAAACAAATCATATATTGATTACAGGTTGTGCTTATGTATCACACTAAAATCAATGGCAGTCAATCTTTTTAGGGTCTGTTTGATTTTTATGCCTTTTTTTCCCCTTAAGGACTGTAGGAGAAGAACAATGGGAGGAAAGAACATTTCTTTGGGAAACCCCCCACTTATTAGTGTGGATCAAAGAGGGGGACTACATTAAACAGCATTACTAACCTGTGGCCGCTGGTGATTCTTTGACAGTGACTTCTTCTTTGTTTTGAGCACTTTCTGTTTTCCTCTTACCACTTTTCTTCCACCGGTTATTTACTTGATCCACCAAAAATTGAAATTCACTTCTGTGTTTGTTTCCTGAAATGTAACAGTGCATTACTGATCATTGCCCCAGGACTCTTAAGGTACGCCATAAAAAGTGAAAGGCACGTGAACAGAAATAAACACAAAATACTGAATTAAAAACATTTTTGTTACAGCAAATGAAAACCAACTCATCACTGCAATATGTTCCATATTCTATTAATGATCTAAATCTGTCTATGCTTTTACAGTTACCCAGTAGTCAAGAACGCTTGCACAGATGAAAACTTAATTTTTGCACAAAACAACTGTGTTTGTTTCTTCTTTATATTATCTTTTTTTTCCTAAACTTAAGTATTGCAATTACCATTGTGACAACATTAATATTGTAGTCACAGCACCAAGCCTGTCAGAGTTCAAGGAGCATCTGGATGATGCTCTTAGTCATATGGTTTAGTACTTGGTAGTCCTGTGAGGAGCAGTCTGCTAGAGAGAAAGAGTAAAATCTCACAACTACTCTGCAAATTGCTTTAAAGTTGCTTTGGGTTTTTCCCCCGTTTCTGCAAGCAATGTTGAAAGCCTTTGTGTCATGCTTATTATACTGTTTTGATTCAGATCCTCTACATCACAGTTAATTGCTCTTTGGCATACTCTTTGCACTTTCAGTCACTTAGTATGTTTTAAGCAATCCTCTGGTATTCAGTCAAAGCAATGTTGTTTTTTAATCTAGATACTTCAAATTCTTTACCCAGAGGCTGGGAAAATACCCGGTCTCCTCAGACAGATGATGCAGATTACCTAACCCTCACTGGGCACGAAGGGAACACGTCGTTGTCCCTACAGAACGCACCAACTTCTACTGAAACAGCGTATTTGACTGTAGCTACCCACAGCTAGTATAGCATGAAAGTCTCAGTCCATACGCACGGCTTTATATTGATATGTTACAGTGAAGGCAGCAAACATGAATTTCCTTTACTTGGAAGGACTTTCAACAAAAAGTCACTCTGAGAAACAGATTTGTCCTTCTGAGACAAATAAAGTATTTCAGCTAAAACCTTTAGCCTGATTTTTAGCCTACGGAAAAAGCATTCAAAATGTTTTCCACGTCAGAGGCAGGAAGGGCCGATGTGCATCCAAAATGTCCTTAGGGCAAAGCAACTGTTTGTAACCGCAGGAGAAGGTGAAGCACACACGACCCTTCCTCTGGGCTCCGTGCTGCCTCTCCCAACGGTGTCCGGACAACCAGCTTGTGGAGACTTCAGAGGTCCAACACACAATAAAACCCCAGCTCCCAGCCAGAGTATTTTCCAACCCACCCTTGCAGGGAGCAGGACTCTGCGCAGCGGCAGGGGACCACCACGCTCCCTCCTCCACTGACAGCAGAAGGCTGGCAGCGCACACATGCCATCTCCAAGGAAAGTTTCCCAGCAATCGCAATATAGCGGTGGACTAAATAAAGCAGCTCCTGAGAAAAGAGTACACCTTGTCTTACACACACCACTGCGCACACGCAGACTTTTTTCTTTCTTTGCACACACAGAACTGAATGTTATTTAAAGTCTCTGCTCTGTAAAAGCCACACACACGCTGACAAAGTTACACTTGCAGGAAAGACTAAGATAAACCCCAGTAGAGAGGATGGGCAGAAAAGTGATCGGGAATCCGGGAATCCTCAGGACAAACGAGAGACGAGGGCTAGCGATGGGCAAACTGGGCCACTGGCCACCCAGCCTGCTGGCGCTGCAGACCTGGCCCGTCCCGCCACGTGCAGCCAGCCCGCCCCAGCACCCCCTTGCACTGGGGCTGCACACGCAAGCTTCACACACTAGTGCTGAGAGCAATGTCTAACTCATGACAGCAAAGCAAATGTCCCGGTGAATTGGGGTGCTTAGAAATCAACTTCGAGCCCAGCTGAAACAAAAAACTCCCTCATAACTTTTCTGTTTTGTTTGTTTGCTTTTGTTTTCTTTTTTCAAACCAGTCTCTGAACTACCTTCCTTTTCCTCCGCGGGGTAGGGAGAGGCAGGAACAACCCTGACTTTCCCCAGAGCTGCAGCGCGGGCACTCCCCCGGTTTCCAACCCGCATCTCCCCGTCACCCCACGCTCCTCTGCATGCACCAGCGGTTCTCCGTCTTCTTCCCTTCCTGCTCCCCACACTCCCCCATCCCTCCCGGTCCTGGCTCGACAGTGGGGTCTGGCTTCCCCCACGAACAGCCCTGACCTCCTCCTCGACCACGACACATCTTCTCACAGCACCGCTTGGCCTCAGCATCCTGCTCGGCATGGCCAGGGCACCCAACACCAGCCCAGGGCATGTGCAGCGGTGGAGATGGGGTGGTCCAGCGCCTCGAGGAGCGGACAGCCCTTGCCGAGCGCTGCATGGGGTACGGCACGTTTAAGTAATCGCTGCACCTAACCCGGATCTATGTCCTGCTGCGGTGACAGGAGGGGGAAAGAGCCAAGATAAAATCATATCAAGTTCTGCCCCACAGAAGGAAACAGATTTAAAACCGATTCCCTCTCCCTGTGTAGCTGAAAACGCCAGATAAGGTCAACAACTCCTTTAATAAAAAGAAAGTTCTTGTCCCAGATGCTTGTGTTAGAGCCGCTGCACATTCATTACGTAATTCCTTCAGCGCTTCAGTTTTTCCAGTATTACTATTTTTTGTTGTTTTATGGTGTGGCTACAAAGCTTTTCAAGTAAAAGACAAATGTCCTGGCAAAGCAAGGCACTATTCAGATACACTGTAAATCACCACTGCGCTGAAACAACATATTTCATAAACACACATTTCATAAAACTAAGGCATTTCAATAATAAAACAACTGCAGATATAATTACAAATATTTAAAACACAAAATATAAATCAGTAAGCCTCTAAATAACATTGCAAATTAAAAGATTTATAAAAAGAAAGAGCAACAGAATAAAACTTTTTTGAACAAACGTATTTCTTTTCCTGTAGTTTTTTTTAACTCTTTGAACAGAGGCCTGACCATGAGAAAAAGCAGAATGAGGTTCACACCGGGTTGAGGGTGCCACTGAGTTCCCGAGGAGCAGACGGAAGCTGCTGCAGGGGACAGCGTACTTAATTGCACCTTCCAGGCACAGACTCTGGCAGCTGCTCAAGCAGAGCTTCCAGCTAGCGTATAAACCAGCCTCAGGTTCATCAAGCCAAACTATTAATTGGTGTTTCAAAAACACTTCACACACAAAAAAAAGCAGAAAATACCAACAGTGTAATTTGCAATTTGCCAAGAGCATAGGAAATGGTAAAGAAGATAAGAAGAAAAAAAATGGTTTTATGACAGCTGTTTTATCTTGGTTTTCAACAAGGCTGTTACATAGCTCCGCTGTGTTGCGTGTTTCATACAGAAATACAGAACAAAAAGTATATGGTTGGGTTTTTTTATTCAGAACTTATGCCAGAGTTAGTTAATTCATTTATTCAGCTGTGAATTAGGGACCTAGGGTGCGAATGTTGTAAATTAAAAGGAAAAAAAACCACCTTCATTGTATAATAAAGCTTTTTAAAGTCCACCTGTGCTACAGTGAAAAAAGAGGCATTTGATAAAAGTTCTTTTAATCTCTAACTGTCCTCTAATTTTAATGTACAATTCTTTTTTCATGCTTATGATTTCTTTCCTATTGCTTTTATGAGAAATAATTTGCTGACACTAGTTAACATTTACCTCTTTGGTCATCACTTTTTATTAATTTTAAAACCATATGTTCCCATTAAAATATTCTTCTATCTTCTCTTTTTTCCTCTTTTTTTTTTTTTAAAAACTTTTCAATGTTCAATTAGGCTGCCCGAGGCTAATTTATTCACTTGGCGGTCTTGATAATTTTGAAACCATATCCTTTTAACAATATAAACTCAATAAAATACCTGGTTTTGGAAAATTAAGATGGCACTTAATATCTTCTTGTTCTAAAACGTGTACAACGGAGCAAGAAAATAAAAGGAAGGACCGGCAACGCCAGTCCCCCGTGGCCACTGCCAGCAGCGCACAGCAGCCTGGAGCAGAACCGGCTGGCTGTTTCCACACCCCACCCCAGCCGTGCAATACAACTGTTTGCAAGGTTGCAACGCGAACGCAACCAGGGATCCAGCTTTACAAGGGATCGGTGCACATCCAAAATCTAAAAAAAAAACCACGAGTTAAGTGGGTTTCTAGCATAGGATCAGTTCTCTGGTGGCAGCACTGCCCTATAAAGAGCTGTGCGGGCACCGCACCGGAGCGGCACGTCCCCTCAGCAGCTCCTTCGCTCCTGGGTTACTCCATGCCAGCCCTGCCACCCCCAAACGTTCCCCGTCTGCGGGGAGAAGGACGGAGGCGAACTCACAGCTGACTGTCAATCAGGTCCCCTCCTCGGACAGCTTTTGTTCAGACTCACCTCCCACGTTTAGCAGCACACTAACGAGCAGAGCACTAACGGCTAGTTACAAGGCGTTTGCTCTGCTCTGGGGGCCCTCCTGAAGTCACTGAACTTTGGGTTTGTTCTTTACTGAGCTACTAAAGCCTTGTGGGGAAAAACACCTAATTTGGGATTAATACTTTTAAAATTATTTTACTTTTTTTTCCCCCTGCGTTGTATTGCTAGAGATTTCTGCATGGCAAGAGAGTAATTATTAACCAGTTACTTGGAATTAGAGGAGAATGCTTAAGATTCAAAACCACAAACAGTGCATGTACACTTAAAAAAAAAAATATTCTCAGGAACAGCAACAAAAAGCAAGGGAAAAATTTGCTAAAGATTTAGGCCCTTATTTAGCCTTCACAGAAACCCAACTAAAATCAACAAGGCTAAATCTAGCTGCATTATGGAATAATTTATATGCCTGTAGCAACACAAGGAAACACAGGAAATACGACCATATTGCAGATTTAAATACACCCTGAAGTGTAATCAGAACAAGTTGTCCCTTCATTGCTTTGCTCCTCTGTGGCTGAAAGCAGAGAAGTTTAATGTTGATTGAATATTGTTTTAGCGTTACATGGCTAACTACCATGTTTGAGTGTGCAAGCAGAGCGCAGGTGAAGCGACATAAGCGGGAAACAACAGGAAAGAATTTGTGAATAATAAAATAACCACTAGGGACCTAAGTACAAAATAATGCTTTATGTGTACAAACACACAAAGAAGGGTCAGGAAATAATCTGTAAAAATCAGTTTACATTAGCCATTTCTGTACTAAATTACTACAACAGGATGCAAGTCCTGCAATCTCTAACTCTCACAAGAACGTCTGCGTCTAAACTAACCATAAAGATGGTTAGGTGGTTCCACGGAGGGAGGAAACACTGTTCTCAAGTTTAGGCACACAGTAAGGAGAAACACAGTTTAAAATACTGTGCTTTTCCAGGGTCAAGTTAAACAGGAATCAGTTCTCGGCGGGGGCGGGGGGAACAAACCAAAAAAAACTCCACCACCCCCCAAAACCCCACCACACAATTATATCATTGAACTACAGCTCTCCCCGTGATATTTTTCTTATTTTTTGTCTCTTCTCTTCTTTCCCTTAAATATTTATTCCAGTTACACTTCCCGAAACAAATGCTGTTATTCTGTCAGGGCAGAAGCAGGTTTAATAACCAACACAGGCACTGGTCTCTTGCACAAACAGAGGGGACTCGGTGTGAAAAAATGAAACAAACAGCAACAATAAAACCAGAAAAAAAATCACCCAGTTTGCACTGAATCCCAGTTGCCTGCACAGGATGGAGGGGAAGAGGTCAACCAAATGAGCAGAGTATTCTTTTTAAAAGATCGCTTCAAAATCACAGGGCTGGACGGGGAGGGGGGGAGTAGAAAAGGATGCAGGGAGGAGACAGGAACACGCGAGTGCTTGTGGAGAGGGGTATGAAGGAAGGGAGCGAATGTGAGGAGCACTGTGAAACCCTGGATGATTTGAGAATCACGCTATACAAATAAAATATGGAAAAAGCATTTTTGGCTGAGTTTAGGGCCACTTTGACAACTGTAGAAGTGGAAAAAACACACAGTGGAGGACACATGCAGCCATAAAGTATTTTAGAAATGCCATATTAAATATAAACTACCATGGCTACATTGCTTGCCAGTTAATGTCACTCTGCACTGGACAGCAAACCTAGAAAAATAAGGTATAGAAAGAGTAAATTTATACAAACTTATCTGCTACAGGATGAGTTAGAAGACTTGGGAAGACCAACCATCACCCAGAATACAGGCGCATTTTAAATAAAGCCAATGTCCGACCACTAAGAGTTGTAGGGGAGGAGGGAATATCTGAGTAATGGGAAAACCCAGTGTCTGTGTTACTGGGTATACTGGTGAGCGCAGGGCCAAGACAGCCAGCATTCACCCCATCTTGCCAGCCTAGCACACTCCTTGTTGGCAGGGATGCCTCCCTCTGGAGTGGCCCAGCTATGCCTGAGCCAGGCTGCTGCTCCTGGAGGGCTCACAGCCAGCAGAGCTGCCTGCAGAGCAGAAGTCATACAGTGCCCAGAATCTCAAAAAAGGGAGAAAACAGTATCAAACCAGAAGCTGAGAAAATTCTGTATGTATAAAAACACTCAGGAGTGCATGCCATTGTTCACAGGGACACAACAGTAGGTAACAAGTTTGTTTTGGTTTTTTTTAAACAATCAGTGAGTGACTGACTTAATATACACAGATTCATATGCTGCAAGCCCAAGTCTTAACAAAGTATAGAGCTGGCAAAATAATTAACGAATTTACATGAACCTCTGAGTAATTCAGATTACTCTCAGAGAGTGTGCCAAAAAATCTGGAGAGAGGAAGGGTGAAATCTCACAAGCAAAGCACAATCAGCTTTCACTGCAGTCACAACTGCTCTTCTGTTCTACAAAACCGGCATCATAAGAATTGCACAGAGAGTCTTACACAGAGAGGGACACTGAAACAGAGCTCCCCCTCCACGTGACAGCCAGCAGCCCAGGCAGCTCGACGGGATACAGCCGGCATGCACGCCCAGCACTGCTGGGGTCTCAGGGAGTCTGGAGAAGTTCTGCTTATTTCTGCCTGAGGGTTCCCAGTGAAACCATACAACTACGCATAGCACATCCAGTGCAGGAGACATAAAAACTCTACTTTGCTGTTCTTTATGTCCAACAAACATAGGAGGCCCATTAAGAAGGGAAATAGAAAGTGCATAAATGGAGGTGTGATAAGGAGGCAATCAGCTTCCATCTCAATCTTATCCAGCCCTGACAGTGAGTTTTGTCAAACGTCACTACTTAATAGAGACTGGTTTCAAAGAGGAAGTTTCAGCCCAAACAGAGAACTTCCAGCTTTGATTTATTAAATGGGGGATGGGGGAAGCACACACACATGAAAAGCATCACTTTTGTGTATATATTTTAGTACAAAGAAAAAGAAGGTGAATTTAAAAGCAAAATGAAGTGAAACTTGCATATTACTTACGATAATCAGTGTGGATCTCATCTATTTCTTCCTCTGTCTGGTCCTTTGTGAAGGTCAAGCTCTACAGAAATCACACAAATGTTTATTTACAGAAACAAAAAGATGATAAAGCTGCATACTTTAAAACTAGAGACTTAAAACTGGAAGAAGGATCAGCTCTCTGTTTTTCACCCACCAGCTCTTACCATCTCATCCGCAGACAGTAATATATAAAGTACGTATACATGCTGTCTTGCTTTGCTTTCGCAAAGTCAACAGGACTAAGCCAAGCCACCCCATATAACACCCACCATGTGTGCACCATAAAATATTTCCTAATACTGTGCAACAAACATGCTCCAAAAGTCACAAAAGTATCATATGTCATGGGAAAAGAACAGGCGCTATTGCTGTTCAGGAAGCAAGGAATTTGCTAGCTAAATCCTAGAGTATTCTAGGAAGCACAATATTCCCCACGCTGCCATGGAGGGTCAAAATCCTCCAATATGACCAAGGGGAACATTGCTCAAGAATTTTTATTGCAATCAAAAAAATGCTCCTACTTAAATGGTTTGGGCATAGAAACATCAACAGTACACGAAGAACTGCCCATGACAAGTGAGTGGTATGAGAAAATCATGTTGATTATAAGATGGTATATGTGAATTCCAACATGCAACCTGGAATTCTCATAATAAAATGATAGGCAAACATGTTCAGTGCCCACTCTGCAACTTCTCCTAGGCAGCCCCCTCTTTGAGAACAAAGATACTTAGCTTACATTTTCACCGGTTTTATTAAATTCAAGCTGAACCCGAATCTTCTCGTTCTTTTCCAGCTCTTTAACAACCTCTGCAACTGTTTGAAAATACAAGACAGGGATCACTAAAACAGGAGCTGTTAAATAAAAAAAAGATGTAACAGCACTGAAAGAAACTACCATGAATTTAAATCACAAAGAGACAAACCGGCATTAGCTCGCCAACAGTGAAAACTCAGACTCCAATCACAGGCAAATCCAAACGGCGTGGTTTTACACCAGTGCTCGGCGGGTGTTTGTTCACGCAGAGGAACTGCTCCCATCTGCAGCAGCTGAGCAGCAGAGGCAGTGCCCGAGACTAGGGACCAGGAGGCAAGGTCGGGAGCTGTGGGCCTTGGCCAAGGCGCCTTGCAGCAAGCTGCACGGTGCTTGCCAGCAGCTGGCTCTCAGCCACCTCCTGGGCCATTACTCTCATGTCCTTTGTATTAAATTCATGGGAAAATGTAATCTTTTCAAATCATATTTGAATCTTACTCTAGCATACTACAGTGTTTCTGTTGTGTACAGGCGTGTCTTTTTATAAAGAGTTTCCATTTCATATTGTGCCTTTAAACAGAAGATAAAATAACGACATCTACTGTTTATCTTATTTTTACCTCCGAGGACTACCTTCCAAGGCAACGCAAAACCATTTGCAGGCTTATGTCCACAACCCATAGTCCAAAGTTGAATTACAACCTATTCTAACTATTAAATCCGACACCTCAAAAGCACATAAACAGACGTAACTTTGTTAATATTTTAACTAAAACTACAGCTATGCAGGACCCTGCATGGTTTACTTTGACATTTACTTTTACAAATCTGTTTCTACACTTAATCATTTTCACAGAGCTACTAGGTAGCTAAGGGTTTTTATTAAAACAAACGCTTTCACTAGACCGTAAAGTATCCAGGGAACAAGAAGCTTATTAAGCTGTGAAGGAGTAAAACCCGTTCAAAACTGGTTTAAGCAAAATCCAGGAATTTGACACCCATGCTTCCTCAGCAGCTCAGCTATTCGTATTATATAGTGACCTTAGGTTCACTGCTACCACTGAAAATGCATGTCTGCATTTTAAGTGCTAGTTTAATAATTCACCCTTTATAAATAGGCATTGAGCCAGAACTCAGTACTAGTTTTGCATTACTTAGGGCAGACTAGCTGAAGTGCACTGTAACACACTGTGAAACTCTTCATTTAGCTAGCCTTGGATGAATGACACGGACAGGGATTCGGCACTACTTCATCACCAGCAGCAAGTGAAGAATCACCCCAAGAGCCGAGTACCTCCCAGCACATTAAAGGACTAAGAGAGAGCCGCCTGTACTGCACAGCTTCAGTTCTAGCACACCTTGAGCAGACATGAGGCTCCAGTCGAGCCAGCATCCACTTCTCAGGCCGACCTTGCTGCGGCGTAACGGCAGCAGCGCAACCCCAACCCCCTGACCCTTCTTTCCCCTCACCCTGAGCTGCCGCAGCTCCCGACCAGCCCACTCCTCACTCCTACTTCAAAACTGCTCTGCTCCTGTTTAGCCATCGGACGATGGCATACCTCCATGACCTACAGCAGCTCTATGTCTGCTCCTGCCCCTGGGGAACTCGGAGAGGGGCTTTGAGAGTGTTTAATTAAATTTCAAAGATTAACATAAATCATATCATGATTGAAATTCTGATACAAGTGCTGTTCTCGCAGACTTAAACAACAAACTTCCTAAACTTCTATCATTGCTGAAGTCAAACACAATCTTAACTGTGTGTGCTGGTTCTCATCCCAGAGACTTCCTGAAGCCCCATAAAACAATTTTTGAAAGCATTTATGTTTATTTTTGGAAGTGCTTAGGCACAAACTAAGCAGTGATGCTTGGCACCTAAATCATTTAGGCACTTAACCTTCTCAGTCAAGTTCTCAAAATGGTTAAAGGAGCAAAATTCATTTTGCAAATAGTGTTGGTTGCTTTTCTCATACACTTGCTCCCACAATCCAAGACAAGAGCTGGTAAGTGGAATCAAGATTTCAAAAAGCAGGAGCCTAAAGTTTGGCTGCTAAATTCATATTTATAGACTGCAGTGACTGACTTTATTTTTCAAAAAGCACCGCATCTGGTGGTTCTGCCTGTTTAATGAAAGAGTTGAATGCCAAAAACATACTTTATTTTTGAAATGCCACGGTAGTTGTGCATATTCAGCATTTCCGACTGTCTGATCACATATAAAACCACATGTGCATGGAGTTAACATATGAGCTTTTAATATTCACTTGAAATAAATACTCCCCTATACTGTCAAATTTGTTAAATGAAAACTGATGAATTAAGTGGTTTTTACTGTGTTTAAATCTGGCATCTTTCTCAAAGGGTACTTCTCACCCCTGGCCCCAAATTATTCCTGTTATAGATAAGCAACAAGTAGCAAATATGAAGTTTAGCTGTGCACCTGCAGTGGTATGCTATCTAACCCACAGAGATGCTGAACCCAGCCGTGCACGAGCGGCTCCTCAGCTCCCAGCTCACTGCCCTGCCCGCTCACTCAGTTCCTGAGAGTCCCACTGCCAGCAAGAACAAAAATTTATCTGGTCCCAATAGTTTCCGAGCCCTTCAATACACACTAAAACATTCAGAATTTTTTACAACTTCTGGAAGAAATTATGAACTTGTGCTTCAGGACTTAAGGCTCTCTGTAAACGTGAAAATTAAAGAGCTCAAACTGAGGGTGAGGAACAATATTTCTCATCTCTCTACCTTTGAAGTAACTGAGACCAGCTCTTGCCAGCAGCAGGACTGACCTATGTTACAGACCTAGCAGACGGCAAGCTACATCCTGAAACCAGTGCAGAAAATACAACACCAGCTATATGAGAATTTCCAGGACACTAACGGCTGTGCAGCTCCCAGGAGAGTAATTTCAGAACATGATTCTGTTAGAAATTCCTTTAAAAGGACTGTTTGCCATAAGCTTCTAACCAAATAAAAAAATAATATAACTATAAATCTGATGCCTATCTCTCACCCACACACACCAGTGTATTTATGCTGTTACTCATATCACTTGCAGAACTGAATTGAGAGATGACAAATTACATCTTTTTTAAAGATGCATATTTTCATCTTGTATAAAATAGAATATAACAAGATGAGCTGGGACAATTCTCCCTCTAGCTCATACATGCTATTCAAAATTTAAAAAATGGCCACACTGCCTACAAAACCAGGCAGCACAAATACCCTACTCGGATCTCATCCTCCCTGTTCCAGCCCTGGCATTTTCCAAGCATTAAGCCTGAGCACATGCAAACAACAGACTGCTGTTTAAAGGAAATTTATACTGCACTCACATTAGAGACTAAAACACATTCTCCTTATCCCATACAGCTGTTTAATGGTATATATAGTCTGAGTTTAATTGTATAAAATTGCTGCCAAACACCTAAATTGATGTAAACTCCAGCAAAGCATTAACACTTTCTTATTAATTCATTCTACCCTTTGCTATCATCTCCAAAAAGAAATCTAATTTTGAAATTACATCCAATAAAAATATAAAAGCCTCAGTGTATGGGAGGAAGAGAACAAATTCAAAACAAAAGATAAATTAATAATCTATTCACTTACTAAGAACCTCAGGTATTTCCAATTTTTTGACTAAAAGCCTGAGTCTAATTTGGAGGCACTCATTAAAATGCAAAGTCAGTAAAAACACAGAACATTTTTCAGAACAGGGTTAGTAAACCAGGAAGTATCAAAGAATTTCAGCACAAATTTACATCCTTGCTGGATACTTCCCGAGTATAGCAACACATTTCTGGTTTTCATTAAATTTCCTTTTTTTGCATTCATCTTGATTTAGGTAAGATAAATTCTTCCAGTTTTCCTAAATATTCAAGCCAGCCTTATTCCTACCCTGAGAACTAAGAGAAGGAGAAACGCATACAAATAATTTGCAATGGTAACAGCTTTCCTAGAATTTCTAACTTACCTGATTTGGGATTTAGAGAATCACATTGAGCATTATACATGTGCACAAATTCTTGGTGTCTTTTAATGAGCTGTTGTCGGGTCCCGTGGGTAGACAGACCATGTTCCTTTAGTTTCTTCTTCAAATCACGATCAGAGAGCAAGTTGTAAACAACTTTAGACATAGGCTTCCTTTTGTGAGCAGAACTGCAAAAGGAAAAGGAAACAAACTTTTTTTCATTAATACTCCTATGAAAATCAAAATACTGACTTACATTTTTACAGGGTATTTCACCCACTCTGGGTAAGAAATACCTGAAAAAAATTATTTCAGCCATGATAGACACACAACCAATTAAACAGTGTTTCACAGATGCAACAGCAACAGCTCTAGGAAGCCAGAACACTTATTCTACCTACCACAACAAAAATTTCAAACGTGCAGAAAGCAATAGGTCTAGTCGGATTTTCTTTAGGAAATGATGCAAACACTGCTCATGTAAAAAGTACTGCGGCTTTGTTTTTAATATCTACAGCAAAGGCTTCAGAATCACATCAGCACACACAGTATTGCTCGTCTTCATTAGGATCAAGCCTACATTCACTCTGCATTCAAAAGGAAGTGTACTGGATTCAGATTGCTGAAACACAGGTTTTCCACCCAAGTACTGGCTATGTCTTACCTGAATCAGTTGGTGAAGTTTTAAAAGCATTAAAACTGCAATCCAAAACTTGAATTAGGAGATTTTTCAGCTTTCTGGGAAAATTACTTTGAGAAAGATAGTCATGTACCTGAAAGCAAATTTGTAGTTCCCATCTAACAGAAGGGTAGTTTGGTAATACAGAAAGTGACATTAAAGAGAACTAATAGTGCTCTCGGATGAACATCTAAAACCAAAATTCACTCCTTCACACTGCCTTATGTCAGAAGAACTCAACGTTCCTGGCATAACTAGGGAAAACATCCTAATTACAGGAAACTGCCATAGAAAATTCAAGTCCTACTACAACTTTTGTCATCTAAAATTAGCAGAACAGTTTC